ACAGGACGGAAGCAGGTTGTTCTGCCATTTTCCTAGACCTTTGAGTTGCACATCAAATCTGGGGCTGATAACTCCACACTTGTTCAGCCTCCCTGTGCAGTTCAAAATTTTCTCAGTTCTTGTGGTCATCAGTGATATCAAATTTGCCAGTGTAACTTAACTATGCTTCATCATCACAGTTAGAAACTGGATGATGACTTTGCAGCATGGCCTAATAAGAACCTGGTGTTTTCCTTTGTTTGCATTGGTGATACTCTTGAGAGTGCTCACGTGCACCATTATGGTGCAAAGGAAAGATGGTGGAAAGAGCTTGACTTTACTATTTTTTAAAAAAATTTTTTTCAATGTTTTAATTTTAATTTTTATCATTACCTGAGGACATTTAAAAAAAAGATTTATTTATTTATTTTTAGAGAGTGGGGAAGAGAGGGAGAAAGAGAGGGAGAAAACATTGAAATATGAAAGAAACATCAACTACTTGCATCTTGCATGCCCCCAACTGGGAACTTGGCCCACAACTCAGGAATGTGTCCTGATTGGGACTTGAACCAGTGACCTTTTGGTTTGCAGGATGACATGTAACTCACTGAGCCACACCAGTCAGGGCTTGAGTTATTATTTTTAGTGCTTAGTACTCTTGATATCTTAGGAACTTCAATCCATGAATAAGTATTTATTTGGCAATTTATGAAAATTGGCAGGAGGGGCAAACTATTTAGTACAAAGTGCTTTGAGTGATTTCAGTCGAGATGTTGGCATAGTCAAACATGGCTCACCTCCTTGCACAACCACATCAAAATTACAACTAAAATATATAACAGCCATAACTCAGAACCATTAGAAATTGAGTTGAATGGGAGTCTGACAACTATGGAATTAAAGAAACCACATTCATCCAGACTGGTAGGAGGACAGAGATGTGGAATGGGCTGGTCCCACATCCATGTGTGATGGATAAAAATTTGTAAGGGATATCTCAGAAACAAGGTGTCCTAGCCCCACATCAGGCCACCTAGCCCAGGGTTCCAGTGCCAGGAAGATAAGTCCCCATGACTTCTGGCTGCAAAAACCAGTGGGCATTGAGTCAGTGGAAGAAGCTGCTGGAGTCCTCTTAAAGAACCAATATACAGACTTACTCAGACTCACCCCATCTGAGCTCCAGCACTGGGGTAGCAGCTTGAAAAGCACCTGTGGCATATGGGGGAGCAACTGAAGTTTCTGGCATCAAGGCAGAAGCTGGGGGACAGCTTTCTCTCATACAGATAGGTGGGCAGAGGCCATTTTGCCTTTACTGAGCCCTACCCCAACAGAGCCACAGAGCTGGCAATGAGTTGCCATGTCTGAGATTCCATCAATCTGGCTAACAGCATTTGCCCCACCCTGAATTCACCTGAGACTCCGTCCTACCCAACTTACAGGCCCACCCAAATTGTGAACCACCGACTTTCCTATATGAATGGCTCATCTTGGTTCATGCTTTACAACTTCCTAAAGCCTATCAAGCAACAGCTGGAGAGTCCCCATCCCCTGTATGTCTTGCTAAGTGGCCCCAGGCCTGGCATTAGCGGCAGCCAGTCTAGATTCAGAGTTTGGCTTTGCCTGGGAATTTCCAAGCCCAGCATAAGTACCAGGCATCTCAGATTGCTTTATAACTCAGGAGGTGGCCCAGGGCAGAACATAGGTGAGAGTTGATCTTGTCCTGCACCACTTGGGAAACCCCAGAGACTGCACACCCAGTGGACAGCTATAGACCACATTGGAGCACCACCACCCTGCCCCTGTGCAACTGATCCTCCACAGAGGGCGGAGGTTGGTGGTCAGTGGTTACAAACAGTACTTATTGATTACTGGCCTGGGTAAATCCCTCCCACTGACCTGCCAACAGCAATCAAGTCTCAGCTACCAAGAAGAAAGTGGACTCAGCCCACACAAAGGGCACTCCTTGAGTATCTAGCTTGGGTAATGGGGGAAGCTGTGCCACTGGACTCTACAGGACACCTACTACATTAGGCCACACTACCAAGACAGGGAGTCATAACAGCTCTACCTAATATATAGAAACAAACACAGGGAGACTGCCAAAATGAGGAGACAAAGAAACATGGCCCCAATGAAAGAACAGATCAAAACTCCAGAAAAAGAACTTACCACAATGGAAATAAGCAATCTGTCAGAAGCAGAGTTCAAAACACTGGTTATAAGGATGCTCGGGGAACTTAGTGAGGGCCTCAGCAGCATAAAAAAAGATCTAGTCAGAAATTAGGATACACTAATTGAAATAAAGAACAATTTACAGGGAATCAGTGGTAGAATGGATGAAGCTGAGAATCAAATCAGTGATTTGGAACATAAGGAAGCAAAAAACAACCAATCGGAATAACAAGAAGGAAGAAGAATTCAGAACACAAGAGCAGTATAATGCAGCCTTTGGGATAACTTCTAGCATTCTACCATTTGCATCATAGGGGTGCCAAAAGGAGAAGAGAAAGAGCAAGAAATGGGAAATCTTTGGAAAAAATGAAAGAAAACTTCCCTAATTTGGTGAAGGAAATAGTCATGCAAGTCCAGGATACACAGAGTCGCAGACCAGATGAATGCAAAGAGGGCCACTCTAAGACACATTGTGATTAAAATGTCAAAGGTTAAAGATAGAGAATCTTAAAAGCAGCAAGAGAAAAGCAGTTAGTTACCTAGAGAGGAGTTTTCATAAAACTCTAAACTGATTTCTCAAAAGAAACTTTGCTGGCTAGAAAGAAATGGAAATAATTATTCAAAGTAATGGAAAACAGGTACTCACAGCCGAGATTGCCCTACCCAGCAAAGCTATCATTTAGAATCAAAGGGCAGATAAAGAGCTTCCCAGATGAGAAAACACTAAAGAAATTCATTATCACCAAACCATTATTATATGAAATGTTAAAAGGACTTGTTTAAGAAAAAGAAAATCAAAACTATGAACAATAAGATGGCATAAATACATATCTATCAACAATTGAATCTGTAAAACAAACTAAGCAAAAATGAACAGACAGAATCATGGATACAGAAAGCATTTTGATGGTTGCCTAATGGGAGGGAGGTGTTGGGGAATGGGTGAAGAGGTGAGGGGATTAAGAAGTACAAAGAGGTAGTTATAGAACAGCAATGGGGATATAAAGTACAGTGTAGAAAATGGAGTTGCCAAAGAACTTCTACGTATGACCCATGGACATGAACAATGGTGGGGGGATTTCCTGAGGGAGTGGGGGTGCTGGATGGAGGGGGGGCAAAGGGGGAAATACTAAGACAAGTGTAATAGAATAATCAATAAAATATAATAAAACCCAAAGTGCTTTGGTGTTGCCATTTTGAATTTTTAAGTTTAAGATAAAAACATTCTGACCTATACATGAAAAGTCCCTGGGCAAAAAGATTAGACTAGACTGTTCAAGTGTAAGTAAATGAACTCCTGGGTCATCTGTGAACATTTTGTTTACTTTTCATATTTGTCACGTGGGATTGCCTTCTCATGTCATCATCCAGCATGCCCCAGAGCTAGCATGTTTAACCTCATAGTTCCTGGGAGGGCAAACAAATCTAACAGAGACTCCATGAGACACCATCCAGAGAGTGTATTGATACATTGAGAATCTTTCATTGTGTATTCTAAAACTAACATGTAGATAATATATTTTAGATTTTTTGTGTAACTTCTCATTTTTCCAGGGCTAGTTGAATTATTTGGAAATGTAAATCATTTAGTAGTATCTACTGCATAGATAAAGAAGAAAGGTTGTGGGATGGGGGTCAGGGGATCATGTGGCATCTCTGTGATTAAATGCCACTGCTAATTGTAGTATGTGAGCATACTGTGCATACAAAATTGTAAGTTTGTAAATTTATACTTCTCATGTATTTTACATACATAAGTAGAATATATAGATGGATCAAGCATTATTTCTGCAAAAAATGTTATCCTGACTTTAATATATCTGAGAGGCAGAGGTGGTTAGTATTATTCTATTTTCTTAATTGATTTAGAAAATGAACTAACCATCATTTCTTGTGATTACAAGAAGTAGTTTATCAGTTTATGAAGGAAGCTACATATTAGTGTCACAAGTGTAAATTTTGTATCTAATATTTCTTATGTATGGAATTTCATACATTACATTTGGGTAAGTATTTATGCATGCACTGGTATATTTAAAAATAGCATCAGTATTGATGTATGCCTCATATAAAAATACATTAATCAGAAAAGGAGACATAAATTTTAGCAAAAGATTAAGTTTATATTTACACTAGTACAGAGTGATGTTTTATGTTATACTCAAGTGAAAAGAACCAAATACAATATTTTGTATGTAGTGTTTACAAATTATATTTAAGTAATACAGAAGAAAATGCCTTGAAAAGAAATATGCCCCAATTGATTAGGTGGATGTAGTAGCATTATGTTGTGATAGAATTTTTTTGTACTTTGCTGTTGTTTCCAATTTTTTTTAAAATAGATGAAACCATATGAAACCATATTACTTTTATAGTGAGGAAAATATTTTTGGAGAAAACCTATAGCAATAACTTTGGTGATCTTTATTTGGTGGTGTATATAAATCATTTATATGTAATTAAAATAAATTTAGCAGTATGATATGCTATATTTACCCTCGCTGAGGTGCTTTCTTTCTGTGATTTATTTGGTAATGTTGGAGGAAATATATTTTTAGTAACATGGGTTAATATTATGCTTAATATTAAGACAAAGGATATCTTAATAAGTTTCTGTGTGGTATTACTTGATACATTTTATTTACTTTTGAGGTAACTTCTTACAGAAAAGGGAAATATGAATGGGATCATGATGTTCTAAAGATCAATTGCTAATTTTTTACATTTAAATGTCACTAAGGGGTTCTTTAGAAAGAAAATTTTGAAATTAAATTATTTTCATCTCCTTTTAGAAAACATTTTAAATACCTTTACAAAATATGTTTTCTTTCTCTTTGTTTTTTAATTAGGACATGTATTCCTCCAAGAAACCTTGGACAGCAGATTTTGGTTTAATATCTGAATGGGACAACATACAGAGACATTTCCAGTCATGAGTAAGTGTCCTTTTTTTTTTTTTTCCCATTTCAGTAGTCTCAGGAGCATTTGTGGCGTTGTACTTAAAAAAAGAAAAAAAATCATTACTGGACCAATTAGAATTATGTCACTTCATCTAAGAGATTAGGTATTCTGTTTCAGCCCAGTACTGTGCACTTGCCTGTATTTAAACAAGGAGATACTTTCTGATAGTTGATTTATTCTAAGAAGTTAGATGTGGTAAGGAAATTGGTGTCATTAGCTTCTTGGCTAATTTATAGTTCTATTATCTAAAATTTTCTATTGACTAGCTATTTGAAAATGATTCATTAGAAATATGAGGAGGGAAAATTGCAGTTGACTTTAACCAGCAGGTGTTTTATTTTGTGAAATTTGATCATTGAGTAACATGAGTTAATATTATCTTTAAGCAAAAAAAGTTTTTTTTAAAAAAGATAAAGTTTTCTTTATCAGTGTCTTTGATGGAGCAAGGAACCAAGTTTATTTTATAGACTTACCAAATTTGTACAGATTTTTTCTTCTCAGCTGTATATGTAATATTTTCTGTCATTTCTATCCATTCTGCTTGTGAACAGAACTGGATTTTATGTTAACTGTTTGCTTTTACAGAGTGAGGGAAGAGTTAAGATTTTACCCTGTTGTAACTCTATTATAGCTTATATGTAATTTTAGAAAGTACAGCTTTTGTGATTATGAAGATTTTGGGATGGAATGAACATTTCCTTATTGTAATAATATTAGGGAGTTTCAAGATTTTCACATATTTATATTGATTATACAGGGTGGGACAAAAGTAAGTTTACAGTTGTTTGTATGGAAAATAATACAATAATTAATCAATAATAATACAACAATAAACTCTGTGTTTTGCATAATCACAACTGTAAACCTACTTTTGCCCCACTCTGTATTTACCTTGATATGACCAGGGTACCTTTTCTTATCAACAATTTAAATAATTAGGCAATTGATAAATAAAAATGTTGTTGTTGTTATTAAGTCTGTGAGTGCTTTCTACAAAGAATAATATTACAGGAAGTAAGTTGTCTACAGGCTTTTCAGTGGTGCACATTTCCGGTGTTGTACTTTGAATAAACAAGGATAGTTGCTAGATGAGTTAAAATACATTAAGAAAGAAGCAGCTTTTGTTATTTTAGCTCCATTCATATGCAGTTTTGTGAGAATGTTTATCTAATGCTGCAGCTTAACTGGCATGCTGCAAGAATTTTTAAGACATGCAGTACCTGACTCTTAGGGGCACTGACCTTTTTTTTTGCCTTAGATTGTTAAGAAATAACAATGGCCAACACAATAATAGTCATCTGGTATGAATGAGTCAAAATTATACTATCTTTTTGTCAGATTGGCAAAAATATATTTTTTGTTGTGCCACAGAATTTTAGGAGTTTATATGTATTATGAGATGAAAAAGGTTGAAAATCGCTGATCTAGTGTAAAGTGACAACTGTAGTAAAAATGGTGATGTGAGTTTGTAAAAACTAAGAGGAATGTCAAGACTTTTAACTTAAAAATGTTTTCATTTTTGAAATTTAACTAAATTTTGTTTTACTCTGTTAACATCACTATTGTAGATGGTGAGTTCTTTGAGGACAGGTACCACATCTCCTTCCTTTTTGAGTCTGATCGTCTGAGATTTTGTCTTGCACACAGCTGCCCCTAAGAACTCAGAGCCTTGTGCGACCAAGGCAGAGGGATGATAGCTTCTGAACCATTACAATTTTTATTTGTAAATTGCAGTGACTGTATTTCATTTGCAAGATTTTGAGTTGGTTCTTTTTTATATCCACTAGTTCTTTTCTCATCTCTGCTTGTTTTTATTTAAAAATTTTCTGGTTCTTTTGTTATTTCTTTATTTCATTGTGAGTCTTCTACATGCTTATTTTAAAATCTTTTTTAGATTACTGGATTATTTTTAAATTTTATTTCTGGTGCATTTATGTTGTTATTGTTGATAACAGTATAACAATATTGTTGTACAATGTTGATATTGTTGGTGTTTTCTTCATGTTCTGTAATTTTGCAGGCACATTCTGATGGCAATTTTTTCCTTTCTCTTATGTTTCTCTGTCTCTATCTCTTTTTGTGATTTTCCTTGCTAGTTTAGCAGATTTACAGTTACTTTCTGTCTGGCTTTGGAGTTCCCGGATCAGAATCAGGTCTTGTGTTAGTGGATGACAGCCACCAGCCCCATGGTGAAGTTGGGGATTTCACAGACTCAAGTCACTGAGTCATCTGGCATTACGTCAGCAGCTTCCTAAGCTGTAGCTTCAGTGCAATTAGCAGAACTCTTTTTCAGTCTAGTTTCCTAATCAGTGAGGAGTGCCATCCTTGTCTCTGATTTTAATCAAGGAGTCTGGCTACTAACTCTGTTTCACATGGAACCTTCATATTTATGGTTACCCTATAGGAGCAACTTCCTGCTGCGTTTTCCTGCTTTGGGGCCCAGAGCCTAGCAGACCTCCTGGCGTCAGCTTAGCTTGCACTTTGTGTTCCTGTTCAGATTTATGATCCGTAGAGATGTTTAACATGTTTTGGGGCATATGTATGTTATTTTGGTGATTTGTTTTTATATTTTATCTGGAATTTCTTCATGTTTGTTGTGAAGACAGGGGTGCCACAAAGAACGATTGATGCCATTGGGAATTTAACCTCTGGCATTACAATGAAAGCCCAAAGTCCTTACTTCACATTTAAGATTTAAAAAAAAAATCAGTTTCTGCTTAGTTCCCTAATGCCTAGAATTCCTCTTTGTCATCCTGGTACCACTTCACTGGTTAGGTGAATCCTATTGCACTTCCTCTCTGTAGTGTTCTGCTTGCTTCATTCTGGTACTTATCATACTATGTTGAAAACTACCTGCCTATTCATTCTAATCTAATCTGTAAGTTCCTTGAGGGCACAGAATTTTATTCCTAGTGCTACACACTATTCCTGGTACTTAATGGTGTTCAATAAATAGTGCGTAGATTTGGGTGTTCCTAAATAATGCTCTTAGTGTGTAGCAGCTATTTCATGTGTTATTTTTAGGTGAAATTTGAGCTGTTGCCCTTGGGTGGGAGAGACCAGAGAGAGGGAGAGACTGACAAACAGACAGATATCAGTGTGTGAGAGAGAAGAGGGGTGTGACATAGGATGAAGCATTCCAAGTAGGTGGAGCAGTGTAAGAGAGGCGTGAAGACTTGACTATGCATAGGTGTTTCCAAGTAGTGAACAGTGTGAAGTGCAGAGAAAGGGAAGGCCAGGCCAGATACCTTCCAGGAATCCAGGAAGTTTGGAATTTATCCTGTAGGGCTTAAGGAATTATTTAAGGATTTCAATTAGGAAAGCATCCTAAGACTTCATTCTGGAAAAATTACTCTGACAAGTTGATGTTTTCATTTACATCTTGTAAATGAAAAACATCAGTTGCAAGCAATATTTGCCTTTTCTAGCTTTGTTCTTAATTTTCAGCTCTTTTTAGGCTCCTTTTGAAATAGTCTTTGAGTTCTCTTTCTTGTTCTTGCCAATGTGATGATTTTGCCTAGTAACAGACATCATCCTTGAGTAGACCATGTAACCATAGCTGAGGGGATGTTGTGGTGGTTAGGTTACGCTGCAGTTTCCAGGGAGTGGGAACTGACTATATCAGAGTTCCTGTTTACGAAAAAATTATTGGAGAAGCAATATTTTAAAAATAGGAAGATACAGCCCTGGCCAGCGTGGCCCAGTTGGTTGGAGTGTTGTCTCTTAACTGAATGGTTGCAGGTTTGATCCCGGGTTGGGTGCGTGCAATCTGGGTCTGGCTGAGCATCTCTGGTCTGGTTGAGTGTGCTCTCCAATTTGGGCATGTCTGGGAGGCAACTGATGGATGCTTCTCTCTGGCATCCATGTTTTCTCTCTCTCCCTTCTCTCCCCTCCTCTCTGTCTAAAAGCAATGAAAAGATATCCTCAGCTGAGAATTAAAAAAAGAAAAAGAAGAAAACATAGGAAGATATGTCATTAACATCCAGGTAGAATTTCCAAACCTAGATTTGGGTGATAATGATGCATAACTAAATTATTTTCAGTATTTCTCCAGAGAGTAGAAGAAAGGTTGGGTATTAGTACATCTGAATGAATTTATTGCTGCAGGATTTCCTGACTCTTCCCATGTCATGGACTGTGTAGGACATGCTTGTAGTTAGTTGTACAGCATGTGGGATAAACTGTGGAAGCTGTTTGGGGCTTGGAGGTGACTGGCTCTGCCACCTCAGGCCAGGCTGCCATTTGTGTCCAACTGCCCTAAAGCTGAGGGGATAAATCTCTCTTCACACCCTGCAACACTAGTTGGAATGCCCCAACTACAAGGCCTGGAAAATTTATGTTAAATGCTTTAAGGTGTTTTTGCACAATGGGGCCATTGTGATTTTTTAAAAACAATCAGCCTTAGACCTGTTATAAGAACTTTGTACCTATATGTGCCTGTATATGTGGAGAACTTTGGGAAGAAAAAAACCTACCCCAACTTTCTAGGTACCCAAACTCACTTTTTTCAAAGGAACTTGGATCCAAGTGATTCCTTACTAAAAGTGTCTCTGCACTTAAGAAAGGAACTTAAAATGTTTGATTGTTTTGTAAAAGTGGAATCATTACTCTCTTTCCCTTAAAATGTGATGTAAAAAATGTTAGCCATCAGAGTTTTTAGTCTCACTAGAAAATATCAATATACTTTTCAGGCTCAGTGCTCAGTGCATCCTGATGGAGAAAGCAATGTCTACGTTTGTGGTTTCTTCCTAAATCATTTTTTTCTTTGATTAATATGTATCTTCTCAGCAGGTAAAATTCTGCCTCTGATATCATGAAATTCTATCTCTTCTTCCCAACCAGTCCAACTTTATTCTTTCAGTAGGATCAATTCTTTATTTTGTGTTTTAAATTTCTGAATATGTGTTTTGAAAAAATACATATTTATTTTGGAACCATTTGAGACTAGGTTACATTTACCATGCTTCTCCTCTAC